GGGAAGCAGACTCCCTGCTGAGCAGAGAGCCCGATGCGGGACTCGATCCCAGAACCCTGAGATCATGACCTGAGCCAAAGGCAGAGGCTTTAACCCACTGAGCCACCCAGGCACTCCTGTAGTTCCTTTTACTTATTGATGACTTTTTTCAGGCTTTGATTATTTGAGTAATGCTATCTTGATTGAAAGTATCCAGAGGTGTTTCCTCCTCTTCAATTTGCTGGATGAATTCTATACACTAAATGTCTGTGTCAGCCCCCGCCCCCCCCCCGCCCATTCATATGTTGAAACTTAATCCCCAGTGTGATGGTATTAGGAGGATGGTGCCTGTAGGAGATGATAGGTCATGAAGCTCCACCTTCATCAATGGGATTAGTGCCATTATGAAAGAGGCCCCAGAGAGCTCTCTTGTCCTTTTCTGCCATGTGAGGTTACAGTGAAAAGAACTGTCTGTGAACCTGGGAGTGGACCCTCACTAAACACCATGTCTGCTGGAGCCTTGATGTTGGACTTCTAGCCTGCAGAACTGTGAAAAAAAAATGTCTGTTGTTTATAAGCCACCCAGTCTATAATATTTTGTTACAGCAGCCCTAATGGACTAAGACAGTGAGTTTTTATAGAATTGGGTTTTTTTGTTTTTCCCCTTCAGTTGATAGAGTTCATCATTGAAGCCATCTGGGCCTGGAATTTACTTTGTGGAAGGGTTTTAACAACAAATTCAATTTATTTTATAGATAGAGGACTACTCAGCCTATTTATTTCTTTTCGAGTGAGTTTGTTTATGTGTTTTAAGGAGTTTATTTCATCTGCGTTGTCAAGTTTTTTGGCATAAAGTTCCTTTGTTATCCCTTTAGTATAGATATATCAGTGCCCTGCTATGGTGCTAATTACCTTCTCATAGCTGATACTGGTAATTTGTGTCTTTTTTTTTTTTTCTTTAATAGTATTGCTAGAGGTATATTGATTTTTTTTTAAGGTTTATTTTATTAGAGACTGCGTGCATGAGTTGGGAGAGGGGCAAAGGAAGAGGGTGAGGGAGCATCTCAAGCAGACTCCCCACTGAGCTCAGAGCCCAATGCAGGGCTTGATCCCACGACCCTGAGATCATGACCTGAGCTGAAATCAAGATCCAGATGCTTAACTGACTGAGCCACCCAGGTGCCCCAGTCTTCTTGTTTTGTCAGAAAACATTTAACTTACAAATTTATCTTGTATGACAAGATGTGTGTGTTCTTTTTGGTAATCTTCCATTGAAGCCATGGATCGTGTCAGCCATTTTTGTGAGATGCCAGCACATATGGTTTATTGATAAAGTTACTTTAATGATTGCTTCAGTGTGTCAAGCTCTATAAACTCTCAATTTCTTCTTGCTAGTAAGGAACAGAAATATATTTGCTAGAAATCAGAGTCAAGTCCAGGGGGTTAGTGAAGGTAAATTCTCATGAATCATATTGTTGGAGGAGTAACCAGCTCTTTCCTGAAATAAGGTTTTGCACCTTGGCTCTTGTATAGGTATGAATAGAAAAAGATCTTTATTCAAGGAATTATGCATAAAGCATTTTCTACTGCATCATAGTGCATTTTATTCACAGATAATCCAGATAATACGGCCTATGCTTAGCCACTGCTTAACTAACTAGGCTTTTCACCTTGTGTATGTTTTACTTACCTTTTAAAGAAATGACTTCAGGATGGGAGTGAGCATTCAGTATTTGACAAGGAGAGTTAATTAATAGCATTTGATAATTGAATTTTTTTAGTTAATAGTATTTTAAAATATGCTGCCTTAATACCCTTTTATATGCCTTCAGAAATAGAGATTTTGAAGTATTATACATATATACCGTAAGTGTTGTTAAAATTTTAAGTATTGTTACTTTTTCTTAAGTGTTGGTGCTTTTAACAAAAAAGTACATTTTACAGTTTATTGCTCTGACCTAAACCTCTCAGATGGAAGTTTAGGGAAGTGATTGTTTCAAGTTTCTTGCTGTTCAGTCTTACAGAAGATTTTCATAATTGAAGACCTGCATGTGTTGTCCAGAGTGACCTTTTAATCAGACAATGTTCGTTAGATATTTAAATTCAATTTGAAACAATAGCACCTTTAGAACTAATCTAATACTTTGTTTAGTGCTTTGGTGCACTGGAGCAATAGGCCCCTGGGTTTCTGTCTGTGAGGTCAACTTGAGATGTCCTGGGGACCAAACATATAACGGGGAGACTACTCTCGGGTTTCATATGAAGTCTCGACCTTGACTTTCAGGATACCAAGTTGAATCCACTAAGAAGTCCTAGTGCAAGCGCTTCCCATTGTTCATAACATACCTTCCAATGTCCCTGTGCTAAGTGCACCCTTCTCCTCACTGCGCTCTGTGTGGAACTTCTGTCCCAGTGTGGTACTGGCCGGGTTCGGGCTGGCGCACCAGTTAGCGCGGTCCAGTGCCCTCCAGAGTGGTTTGTCCCCAGCATTCACAGAGTAGGTCACTGGGCTATGTGAAGAAACCGTGAGAACTATTTACTTTTATTGTTCTTACTTTTTTAAAGGTCTGTCCTTTGTGTATAATCTAAAAGCCAGTACATAGTTTTAAAATAATTAAATACACATATATTGGATATATGTGTTCTAATTTTGCTAATATGTGTGTATATGTGTGTTAATTATATGTGTGGTAATTTTGCTAATGGTGGTATATGATTAAAATGTCTTGAGACCAGGTAAGACTTTTCCGGAGCATCTAGACAGGGTTTTTATTTAGTGATCCAGCAGTTTTCTCTATAAATCAGCTTCATCATATGCAAGATTTTGTGTGTGTGTGTGTGTGTGTGTGTGCATCTCCGTGTTTTTCTCGTGAAAAGATCTATGGCTCTCACCAGATTGTCAAAGGAGTCTTTGATCCTAAAGATCAAATAAACTACTTATCTGGAATCCTTGGGCTGAAATCACTGAAATTTGTTTTGGAAGGACTGTATCCGGTCTATAGATAACTTCCTAGGTTAAATTAAATGGTACTTTGTTTGAAAACTACAGTGTGTAATTAGATCTGTATTCCTTTCCACAAAGTAAATTTTTTGGTTGATTTTTTTTTTTTTTGAAGATTTTATTTGTTTGAGAGATAGCATGGGGCGGGGGGGTGGGTCACAGAGAGGCAGCCTCCCCACTGAGCAGGGAGCCTGATGTGGGGCTCATGGGGCTCGATCCCAGGACCCTGAGATCATGACCTGAGCTGAAGGCAGACGCTTCTCCGACTGAGCCACCCAGGCGCCCCAGAAAAAGTGAAGTTTTATTAAGGCTTTTATTTGAGAAACTGCAGCCGTGCTTGTTGTCATGACTTATGATTTGTGGTCTATGTGGCATACTCTCCTGGGGTCTGGGTCCCTTCACCTTCTTTAAAAAGATATTTTATTGTATGTTTTCATTAATCTTCTCTTTAAAATATTATGGTAATTATTGTCTCTCAAGTTCAAATACTGTGTAAATGTGGCCATAGAAGAATTACTTCTTAGGACTCGTGGGTGACTGAGTTGGTTAAGCCTCTGCCTTCGGCTCATGTCATGATCCCAGGGTCCTGGGATCGAGTCCCACGTTGGGCTTCTTGCTCAGCAGGGGGCCTGCTTCTCCTGCTTGCTGCTCTCCCTCCTTGTGCTCTCTCTTTCTCTGACAAATAAAATCTTTAAAAAAAATTAAGAAGGAACTACCTCTTGAAACCTCCTACTATTGTGATGCTTTTGGGTATGAAGGTTTTTCTGTTGTCTGTATGCACTGCTTTTGTGGAGTCTGGCCCTATAGGGGTGATGGGATTGCTTTGGTGGGAATGAGAGCTAAGTTCAAAAGTCAGCTGATAGAGTGAAATGAAGTTGGGTTACTCTTGAAATCCTTAGACCACCCAAAAAATAAAGGTGTACAGGATTTTGTTTATACAGTCCTTTATGTTTAAAATTTTATATGGCCCCAAATAACTCCAGTTTCTTCCCTGAAGCTTGTCAGCAGTGTCGTCATCTGTCACTTGACTAACTACCTGAATGCCGTTTACTTATTTACCAGGAGTCAGAAGAGCCCTAACATTCACGTATTCTTTCCAATAAATATTTGGCTTAGGGCACATTATTACTAAATAGAGTGACTATTTGAATTATTCTTTTGAATAAAAAGACTTTAAAAAATGTGTATAGGTGAATTTAAGTAATTTCAATGTATATATGAGAAAACTGCCTTTTCTAGATTTGCCATTTTACTCTACAAGCCTGTGGTGTCCAGCTCAGGTTAATAATGCTTATCCCCACTGCCCCCCACCCCACCAACCCAGAAAGGAATCACCCTAGTTGTTGATTCGTTTATGTAGTAACTATTAGACATGGACAAGCATTGCTCCGGGCATTAGGATTATAGGGGTGAAGAAAACAAAGTCCCTTTTCTCATAGAACTTACATACTAGTGGGGAAAGTCAGCAAAAAATTAAACCAGAAAGGAAAAGAAGTATTTCAAGTAGCATGTGTTACAAAGATGTGTAATTAGGATAGACGACCATGGAGGGTCCAGCTGTTTTATGTGGAGGAAACAGGTGCCCTTTCTAAGGAGGTGATGTTTGACCTGGGTGCTGCACGAAGAGAGGGACCACGCAGCAGGGAGGTGGGAGCTAGAAGGGTGTGTCCAGTGTCGTCTCCTCCCTCAGGACTCTTGTTTCCTTTTTCAGTTGAGCACACTGCACCCATTCTCTCCATGAGCAACGCAGCAGATCTCTTGTCGGTGTGAGTGGAGTGAGTGACAAGGAAGGGACAGTCACTCCAACCTCATCACTTCCAAGAGACTGTGGCATATAGAGAGAGTAGGTTAGGACTGGCTGAGGTTGTTCCACAACATAACGATTACAAATTCTGACTGGGGTTCCAACTAACAAATGAGAAAGTCCACGGAGTTTTATCTGACTTGTACTTGATTGTGTAACACATTTAAACATATTGTACCTGCTTTTATTAAGGGTTATTTTATTTATTTTTAACAGGAATCACTAGATTTGATCTACTTGGAGACTTTGGAAGGTTTAATTGGCTGGGAAATTTCTATATTGTATTATCCTACAATTTGCTTTTTGCTATTGTGACAACATTGTGTCTGGTCAGAAAATTCACCTCTGCTGTGCGAGAAGAACTTTTCAAGGCCCTAGGTAATCCGAGGTTTACGGGTATTTTTCTCTCTTTCTACTAATTTTTAATTTTGTCATTTGAATTAATTTTAAATCTTCATCTGTTCATTTTTCCTACTATGTAAAACCATAGAGAGTCCATTTCTGACCCACTAGTTACGATTTATGCTCTCCTGTGAAATTACCTCATTAAGCCTCAGCTTCATCATCTGTAAAATGGTGACAGTATCTCCTCTCAAGGACTATTTTGAATATTAACTGGAATGTTTCTTTTAAGGGCCTGAGCAGATTCCTGGCACATCATATAAGCTCAGTAAAATCAGCTTTTTTATTATGATGATGGTGGTCGAGGCAAGGCAAAGCTACTAACGGGCTAGAGACTTAGTTTTTGGTAATGATACCTCTTTCCATTTTTTACTTACAGATTTCTTTTGATTACTTGGACTTTCCAGGTATCAGGGTGATCCACAGTTCTCCGCAGTAAGCCAGATAACTCAGGATGAAAATAATAATACTCTTGTCATTAATAGGAGGGAGGTTTTCATTATCATGTATTCCATAAGTTGCATGCATTGAGATAATCTTAAAAAAACTTTCGGTTTGGCTAAGATATAAAGGGTATAAATGTAACTTATGAATGAGCTTTTCATGCCCACATCAACATTAGCACTAAACATTTTATATGTTTTTATTTTATTTTATATTTTTATTAGTTTTATTTTATATTGTAGGAATACCAGGGCAGTATAAACTATCTTGCTATATAAACCCTCTTTGGTTTGGAGTAATTTTAGAATAGAAGAAGGGAAAGGCAGTGATTTATTATAGAAAATCCTGACATTAGGTCATTTACCTAACGTGACATCATTTGAACGCTTATATTTTGTGTTCCATTGTGGCTTTTATAGCTATTGCAAAAGGCTACGTAGTAATTGATTCATTAAGGTCCAGATAACCCCAACCTTCTGAGCAACAAGAAAGCTTCGCACCCCACCAAGTTCTTCCAACCCCTGTGATTGAAGGGATGACCTTTGGGAAGGAAAGAAGATTTCACGTTATCTCTTCATCCATATTTTACTAAATTTGCCCTGTGAGCAGATGGCTGGTACAGCAGTGCCTGCAGGTGGAAGTGACATCTCACTTCAGCCTAAGCAGCGGATACTTTATGGATTTTCAGGCCTCGCTTTCAGAACGCTGGCCAGGTTAAAAGCTGCAGGGTGAGGCGGGAATCAGCAGCTCTCTGAGCCAAAGGTCTAAAGTTAGAACTTCCTTTTTAAGGCCACGGTAGCATCAGTGAGATGAGCTAGCTGTGTGTCGGATCACCCCCCGTCCCGGTCACCAACATGGATGGTTGTACATGAAGCGCAGTGAGTTTGGTTTTGAGTTAAGGATTCTGGATGTCTTCTTTGGAAGGAAGTCTTTATTAATATAGTGAAATTTCGGTCAACCTAAGGTGAGGTCACATGTGTTGTGTCGGCTCTTTGACCATAACAGGCAGTAGAATTATCCAGACTTGTGTAAAACTAATAGATAGATTTACTTTTTGTGCCCAAGTGTTTTCTGTTACTCTTTGGAATGCTTGAGGGAAGAAATGCATTATACATAGAAAAAGATCCTCATTAAGTATATGTAATAGTGTGTGATCTGAGATCTTAAATCTGATTTCATTGGGAATCATAATTTGATTACAAAATTTAACCATCTCCCCCCGTAGTCCTTCCTGCAGCTGCTGTATCCGTTCATAAGGATAGTACCTGTCTCAGGAGTATCTGTACACAGTAGCTAAAAACCTGATCGTGAGGGGATTGCTTCTGCAGAGAGAGACATCACAGTTTTGGTTTTTTTTAAAGATGTGGACCCTGTGCTGCCCCCAAGTTTTAGAAGTAATAATGGAAATAATCTATCCTCCAAGGGGATTCCTTTTCACTTCGGGCATTGATTACCCCACTGCTGCTCTCTCCACCGACTTCCTTTTCTAACAGACCCTGTTTAAAGGCACTTGCCCACACCCTGCAGCCATGGGTTCCTGTTGTCACTCAGTGGTCTGGCCATTCCCGGGCCAGAACTGTTGCTTGGATTGGATTGCTTTCTTTTTTCCTTCCCATTCATCCATCATAGACAGGGTCAATTTTACCTTTTCTTTCATTAAGATATGCAGGTGGTAGAAACTTCAAAATTCAAAGTGCTATGTTGACTTAAGAGCAGTATAAAATTGCTGAACAGCCAGGTAGACAGACTTCTGGAATCTTAGGGGAATCGAATCTTATCCAAGTGTGTTTTTGATGTGTCACAAAGGCTGAGCCTCATAAAAATGTTTGCTCACCATCTTTTCCATAGGTGAGCTGGTTATGTGCTCTCAAACATCACTGGTGCTTCATTTGATTAATAAGTGCTGAGAGCCTTGGTGCCACATAAACTCTTACATTTCCTTCTGCCTGTTTTCCCTGTTGCACAGTATTGTTGTATATATCAGGTATATTATGTAAATGACTGATGGGTGACACAGAGGGAAACTAATGTAACTTTTAAAGATAGGGATAATTTTTTATTCTGTGAAGTATCTTTGAATGAAGCATTTATGTTCCATTTATTCTTTTGCCATTTCTTCTCCTTTTCTTTTTGCCATGTTCTCCATTGTTTCTCCTCTTAATTACAAGCTTCATACTTTGGTGGGTCTTTCTGTATGTCTTCCTGTATGTATACTTGCTTGTGTGTATTTTAAAACAAAAGTGGGATCATACTTGTCTCGGGTTAGTTCCCCTGGGAAGCACACTTCGGGACTGGGACAAGCTTGGAGGAGCAGGTGTATGAGAGGGTGCTCTTAGGATTGGTATGGAGGGCAGGAGGTGGAGAAGGAACTCCAGAGAGAAGAAACCAGAAGCTTCCTTGGGCCCCAGAGCTGCACAGAGTTGAGGAGAAGGCATGGCTTCCTGGGAGACAACTGTCCTCTGCTTAGGCCCCCAGGGAGCCTCCAGTGAGGACAGAGATCTTTCACCCTAAAGGGGGTCTGGCCAGCACATCACAGCTTTCTCAGTACTTGACACTCTGCCTCGTTAGCCCTCTGCCCACCTACGCCACAGTACATCATTTCTCACCATTTTCTTAATTTTTCTGCAGGGCTTCATAAGCTCCACTTATCAGATCCTTCAAGGGATTCAGAAACATCAAAGCCGTCTGCAAACGGGCATCACAAAGCACTGTGAGACACGCAGCAGCACTCCGCGATCCAGGACCCGGGAGCCCCACAGTCCTGACGTCCCCGCTGGTCCGAAATGACGCGCACTGACTGGGCTTCACATTCAGGGCCGGGGCCTGGCAGCACCGTTTCTTTCATAACCTCCTGAGAACTTGGCTGCCGCAGGCCTCCTCCTTTAGCCGCGTGAAGGACCCCCACAGTTTCCAGCCAGACACGGCTCCGTAGGGCAGCACATTCTTCGGGGGACACATTTGCTTGCATCAGTTGATACAATCACCCATATGGGAATGTCAGAAAAGGCAGACTTGGGGGCTTTCTAAGAATTCAGTTCAATCCCATTATATATTTTATTCAGAATGGAGAAGGCATCATGAAAGGCATCCTTGGTATTTGGATGTGAAGTGAAGGCCCCGCAAAAAGGCAGGTTTCCGGACGCCATCATTGCAGTGGGTGCATTGGAGCGGTAGTGCGCAAAGCTGTTGTTCACGTCCTTAAAGAAAAAGACAAGCACGTAGTTCTGGTTTATATTTCAGAATGATACGATTGGACTTTGGGTCAAGGGAAAAATACGAAATTCTTTTGAAAACCTGATCCGCGGTAGAACAGCATGGGAAACCTTCCACTGTACGGAGTGTGGTCAGCTGCGTAGGAAGTATTCTGTGATCCTAGTTCTCTGACATCTTATGTGTGTAGAATTCAGTATTACCTCTCGTAACATAGTTGCCGGTGTCGAATACACTTGTAACTTAGATTTTGCCTTATAGGCTATATGTACACTCAATTTTTTTAAGCTTTTTTTCTAAAGTCTCTCAGTTCCTTGTTCTCCTGTGTCCATTATGAAACTACACATGCTCTGTGGTAGAAACCCCTTCTGTCAACACATTCTTCAGGCCTGGGCTCCTTTTGTATATGCCAGTTTAAACCTCAGACTCACTAAAGTTACCAGTTTGACACCCAGGTGCACAGTATCAGCATTCATGATGTAAGAATAGTTTTTCAGTGTTTCATGATCTGATAATCATTCAGTTACTAAGTTGTAAATAATTCTGGGGATGGCTTCTTGACATAAAGTCCACTGCATAAAAACTGTAAAATTGTACTCTGTGTTACCATCCATCCCCTAGGATAGAGTACTGGAAATTGTGCATGCAGAAATAAGAGATGAGCCCCTTTGCACACACTTCATAGTTACATAGTCTCTATAAATACGTATGTTCACATGCACTATGTGTATGGCAACAGATTGTCTGTGTTCAGACAAAAGTAAAAGAACATTTTTCTCAAATTGTTGAGTTTAAAGGGTGTTTTTTTTTTGAGAAATTTATGAAAATCAGGCTGTATATACTTGACATAAAAAATTTCCACTTAGAGCCAAAATAATAAGAAAATTTTATCTGTATATTCCTAAATTCCATTGTGTACACCTCTCCTTTATTTACACCTCTGCATTTCCTTCCGAGCTTCTCTGCTCATTAAAATACAGTCCAGTTTTAAAATAAAAGAACGTTTTGTGATTCTAAACAACACTCCGTGAATTGGTGAATCTCTCCACATAGGATCTGCGTACTGAGAAAATTAACAGAAGTTGGCCATTTCCTAATTTCACTGGTAGTTACACCTATTTAAACATTAATTGCAGTCTATGGTTTTTCTGAAATTTGCTTGCAATCCATATTTTGAGCAAACTAGGTCAAGGGAGAAGAAAAAGAAAGTTCCTTACATAAAAGAACCTCACTTGTAACTTACACTGGTTTCTGGGCACATCCATAGGAAGTTCTTGGGTATTTGTAAGATGTCTGAAAATTTCTGAGTAAAATATTAAACTTTTCAATGTCTGTATCAGTTCTTTGTTCATTTGAAAGTTTCTTTCCATTGGAAAACTTAGGCTCGGTTTGGATTAGTAAACAGTGGAATGTATTATCAATTCCTACAGCTGTTACCGGGGGCATCCTCATTGCTTTTGAGACAGGATACAGCTCACATGGAGGGACGGTTGGAACCTTGGATCTCAGACGCCTTCCGTGGGGACAAGTGCAGGTGATTACACACCGTTTGCTGCGTGAGTGCAGCAGCGTGGGGTTCCGCAAAGAGTTTATTCCTGGTGACGTACGCAGGAGTCTTCCTCTTGAGTGAGAGACTTAGTCTGAACACAGATGCTTCCCTTGGACACACTGGAGGCTGCACAAGGCCACGACAGAAATGGGTGGCAGCACACTAAGGCCAAGCACTTGAAGTCTGGTAAGCACAGGTGCACTGCAAGCCTTTCATTCGTTGTAGTTGTGCCGGCGAAGGAGGAGGCAGGTGGCCTGTGCCCGCGGTTAGGGCGGCCCCAGGGATGGCCCCGGTGTTCTCACTGCGTGCGGGGCATCTAGGTGACTGTGTGAAGTCAGACACTCTGTTGACTCTTTCTCACCTTAGGATCCACTTTAAGGGGCATTAGACACTGTAGTTAAACAGTTTCTGGAGGCGACTTACCAACTCTAAATGTTAATTGGTTCTGCAGTACTCATTTTGAAATTCTAAGTTTTATGGATGATAACATTTGTAATTTTTACTGACTTTTCCAAGATATTTCTTAGATTCAGTACTTACTTAGCTTTACATATATTCTTTATAAAAACAGACCTGCTCTAAGAGACTGTAAAAATTGCACACACATGCACGCTCACATGTGCACACACACATGGAGCTACTTCAGGCGACACCATGAGGTTGACTGATCACTGGATGAGAATGAAGTCTCATGCATGGTTTGACTCTTGCATGTGATTGAGGAGTGTACTGCGTGCCCCCGTTCTCGGGCTTGGACATCAGCCTTGCCCTGCTGGAGCACAGTAGACCTGTGTGTGCACCCATAACCACTTAAGCTGCCCACAGCACAAGCTCACATCCTTTGAAAACCCTATGTGGTTTTCTTTGTTAGCACAGTATTTAATGTATAATGGCAGAGTTCTTAAAATAATTTTTAAAAAATAGGAGTATATATGCAGTACTAACTTAAAAAACTGGTATGTTACTTTAAAAATAATGTTTAGATGCACTGGTATATTACTTTTGTTTACAGAGTGTTTTGTTTACAAATCATCTGTTGGCCTTGTTTGTTTCTATGAGATACTTTTAGTGTGACTTTGTCTTAGAAATTAAAATTTTACAAAAAGTGATTTCATGTTTTGGTTTAAAAGCATTCAAATGTGTCTTTATTTTTGTTTTAAATCTTAAATACCATTGTGGCTAAAACTTAAGGGTGTATGTACGTTACTTCCATGTCAATTTTATAAAGGGCAGTAATGGTTCTGGTGAGATGTTGGACTGAGGAAGAAATGAACATTTTCTCTCTCTTTTTGTTGTGGAGTTATTGGTAGATGAATTTCTTCCAACCATTTGCAGCTAAAATGTAGCATCAGCAATTGAAATCACGTATGTCATGTAATTGTTTGAGTTTCTTAGATGTATTTGATTCTTCTAATCTTTTCCATAAAAGGACTGAGCCACGCCTTCTTGGTTGGGTCTGGCAGCTTAATCCAGAGCTCTCAGAAGAGTAAATGGCATCGGCATCTGGTGAATTCACTGACAGACAGAAGCCTTTGCAGCAGTGGCTCTCCAGCTTTCTGACCACAGGAAGAAGTACTTTTTGCATTGTAACACACACACACTTCTATACATGTAAACAAACATTTAACAAAATAGTACCTACTTTTACTGTATGTGATGAGTGCTGGCATTTTCTGTTCTATTTTTTAGAATGCTAGACACAAACCGCACTAATACTAGTGAATGGTCAACTTTCTTTTGAAAAACATGATTTCCAGGATCTAGTTGAAAGATGAATGAACAAAAAAACTTTTTTTGGTTTTTGAATATTAGGTAAAATTCATTATTGCAAATACTACTGAAGCCAAAGTATTATCTATGCATGTTACTTGTTGCACTGCAAAAAATGTAATTAAAATCAATAGAAATTGCTGAAACTCCAGAAAATGGATTTTAAAATTTCAAAACAAGGTGCTTGATCCATATTTCTTGGAGGAGTAGAGCTGGGACCTAGTTTTGAAGAGAAGTTATTTAACTTCCTATTCTGTGTGGTTCGATTAGGTAAAAGTGTTTTCAAGTTCAAATGTGATCAAATAGGAAATTCAGACAAAACCCAGTTATTCTTGAATGTGATTTTGATGTTACATTCTTCCTGAACATGCTGGAGAAGTCAAGTTCAGAAGCACAGGTTTTGAGGAAGTAGGGTGGCAGCCCCCGATGGGTATTATTCCTGAGGATCAGTGTGGGCAGGAAGACCTTCAGTGTCTGAGTGTGAGGAGGTAGAGGTTTAAATATGAATCTGAGGAAGGAAGTTTTGTCAGTTATTAAAAATCCTGTGTGAATGTTTTAATGTCTTCTCCCTTGAAAAGCTCTTACTGAAAGACAGGCTGCTGGCCGACAGTGGCCTCCAGGAACCCAGGACATGGTGTAGTATCGAGTGGCTGTAGCTGTTCTGTCACGCCGTGTAGCTGGCACAGCGTACCGAAGGGCCAGAAGTACTAACAAATAGTTTTTTACATAAATCTTAGCACATTGTTCTATTACTGCTTTAGAAAGCAGCGGTGAAAACTTCTCTTTTTCTGTATTCTCAATACTTCACTTCTAGCCACCAAATGTGTGTGGGGTTTTTCTGCACCAAACTCTTCTCCCAGTTCTCTGCGGATAGCACAGCAGTGTCCCTCAGTTTGATTTAATTCTGACACTGTGTACGTGAAGTTAGTACAGACCCTGCACTAAGGGTAAGGGCTCAGTCCCATAACACTGGTTCCCCACCCCCACTTCAGAGGCCAGTCCCAAGTCCAGGCTGACCCATGTGCTTTGACCAGCTAGCTCTAGGTCAGGGGCTGTCACCACATCCTCCGGTTCAGCGATGTGCCGGAGCAGCTCCCAGGACCCCGGGACCCGTTTTCCTTACGAGATGACCTGTTTACTACAGAGGCTGCACCTCAGGAATCCCAGATGGAGGAGACGCACAGAGCCAGGGATGGGGGTGCCCTCAGAGCTCCTGTGCTCTCTCCAGGTG